AATCAGGATTACTTATTGGTATAAAATATTATTATGAGTATTAAATAAATTTGATAAAATGTTACCAATCGGGATACACAATTTGTATAATAATAAAAAAAACCCCTAATAAGAATATCCCTATTGATGACTTAGGATAACCCGATTGGAAACTGGATGTTAATAAATTGATATCAATAAGAATAACCCTATTGATATCTTTATAATACTCGATTGGAATCTTATTGTATCCTATTTGCGTCATTAATCGTCATTAATCGGGATCACCTGATTCTAAAAAAACAAAAAAATAGGAGACCAATCAGGTCAAATCTGACAACCCAGATTTGACCCGATTGGTCCCCTATTTGTTATTGTTCGACTAGTGTTATTATATCAAATAAGAAACTAATCTTTATGAATAAAAAATATATTCTTTTTTTTTAGATTTTATCTTAGCATAGTAACCAGAGAAATTGATGATGTTATTTTTACTATATTATTGATATTTTAATATGATTTTGGATATATTTTGTATATTTATTGTGAGTCATAATTGAAATTAAAACTAGATCAAGAAATATTGTTTTCTAATACAATTAGATATAATATGTGTGAGAGGATTATACCTGCAGTACTTTTTTTGACACTCTATAGCTCTATAGATCTATTTTACTAACTGTTAAAAAGAAGTATTTTCTTATAGAATCAAGGATCCTTATCTATAATAGATAAGCATATTACGTGATGCCTATAGTTAGTAGTATAAACCATTGGAGTAGAGTCAACGTCTGAGTCAATTCTGTTAAAATCAAGTCGAGTTGATGATCTGTGACTGAGCCATGACTGAGCTGTGACTGAGTCATGACTGGTCTATAACTGAGTTGTGACTGATGATTGTTGACTGATAACACATGACTGGTAACTGATCTACAAATCAAAATTTAACACATTTTTGTTACAAATTAAGATTAGGGATTTTACAAAAATGATTGAACAATTATGCCAATTTTTTTTTATTTTGCACATTATGAAGCGTACATTAAAAGGCAAAAATAAACCAAAAGTTACATATAATACAATTACTAAAAAATTTGAACCTAACAATAATCCTTCAAATATTGAAACAGAATTTTCTGAATCAGATAATGTAAATATTAATGATAGTGTTCACTCCGATGATAATTTATCTAAATCTATTGTTTATCCTGCAAAATGGCCAAAAGGAGCTAAAAATTGGGTGTGGCATTATATTCAAAAAGGAATTCATGAAGAGCAAAGCAAATGTCTTATCAATACAAGTGATGGTATTTATGGGTGATTATTTAGTATAAAAACAAGTACTGAAAATTTATCAAGTCATCTGCGTACTGAACATCAAATTAATAAAAATACTGCAAAATTACCAAATCTAGCCAACATTTCTACAGGAAAAGTTTTAATTCAATCAACAATTCCTTCTTCATTTAAAATTGCAAAACCTTATAATGATAGAACACAAAATGAAATAGATAGAGATTTAGTTAATTGGATTGTAGAAAATTTACAACCATTTACTAGTTGTTAATGAAAACTTTCGCAAATTTATTTCACATTTAAATAAAAGATATATTCTACCATCAATTTCAAAATTTAAAGGATTAATTTTTAATAATGTTCAAGAATTGCAACAATTGCTTACTCAACTACTTCATGATACTATTATTTCAGTAAATTTTACAACAGATAAATGGATAGCTTATCATCGTCCATATATTGGTATTATAATTCATTAGATTTCACCTAATTTTGAACTTCAGCAAGCTCTTTTAACAATTGAAGAAATCCCTTATCCTCATACTGGTTTAAATATTGCAGAAAAACTTGCTAAAACATTTGATCATTAGGAACTTAAAGAATGTATTTTTGCTGGTATTAGTGATAATACTCCAAATGTTGTAAAAATTATGTCAGATTTAATTGAATTGGATTATGAAGTTGATCACATTCGATGTGCAGCACATACAATAAAATTATCAGTTAAAAAGGTCTAGGAAAAATTGATGAACTTCTTTTACAAATTTCAAAGCTTAATAATTTTTTAATTCAAAAAGATAAGCATTGCGAATGACTTTGTAAAATGCAAGAAATTTATAATACTGAAGTAATAGAACCAATATTTTTTAATAATACCGATTTTGATAATGATTTAAATCAAAATAAATCATCTAATCAAATTGTTGAACCAATTAGAGATGTAATTACAAGATAGAATTCAACATTTAAAGTAATATGTCATCTTAATGATCTTAAAGGTGCAATTAAACTTCTAATTTCTGCATTAAAAAATGAGTTAATAAAAGATTATTATAATGATGGTCTTTTATTAGAAAGTTTATTTCTCGATGATTATCAATGGAATTATTTAGAAATTTTTCAGCAGTAACAGAAATACTTGATGAGAGTAATTATCCAATATTAAGCATAACTTATCCTATTACAGACCTCTGCTAAAAGTCTCCAGATGCTTTTTGGCTCAATATAAAACTTAAAAATTTTAAATTTTATTAAAAAACATTTATTAATATATTTATTAAAATACGATATGCTACACATTTGGTACTAAATAATTAGTACTTGGTCAGGCCTCCATTTGTTTCAATCATAGCCTTAATTTTCTACGGCATACTATTGACCAAATTTTTAATAGTTTGTATTAAAATTTGTTTCCAAGCCCTTATAATATATCGATCGAGTTAAGCAAGGTTGGAAGGCAATTTTTTCTTTCACAGATGCTTTTCTTAACTTCAGCCTATAGATTCTCAATAGGGTTGAGATCTGAACTTTGAGCGGACCAGTAAAGTACACGTAGACCATTTTCTGCATGAAACTTCTTTACAAGTTTCATTTTGTGAAGGTGAGCATTATCCTCTTAGAATACATCATTACAGTTTGGAAATGCATGTCTCATAGTTAGCATGACATGTTTGTGAAGAATGGTGATATATGTAATACTAGTGACTGTTTCAGATAATGGAACAATTGGTTCTAAGCCTTGTCTTGAAAAGCACCCCAAAACATTCAGCTAGAGCTATGTTTCACTGTGATAGAAACACAAGAAATATTCAATTTTTCATGAGGTTCACGCCATACTCGACTATAATGGCTTTGTTGGAATTGTAAAAAGGTAGATTTGTCACTCCACATGACCTTCAACCAATCATCCTTTAACTTTGGTATTCTAAACACTATGCAAGACGTGCCTTAACATTTGCTGGTGTGATTAAAGGCTTTCGTCATGCAAAATAATTATTTAACCCAGCTGCACAAAGACTCTGACCAATTGTGCGAGTTGAAATATCTTGGTCAGTCTTTTTTTGCTAGTGTTGTTGAACTTCTGCAATGCATAAGCGACGATTTTTTTCTTTATCTTAGTGATAATTCGCTTAAGCTGGCTTCACTTCAAATCTTTAATTAAGGGTGATCAACCAGAATAAGGCTTCGAATTAACAGTTCTGGTGTCATCCATTCTTTTTAAAATATTTAAAACTGTTAACTTTTCACAACTGATAGTCACGGCAATTGTTCGGTAACTATCACCACGTTGATAGCAAAAAATTATACCACCGCGTTGTTCTGTTATTAATTTTTTGGACATTTTCATTGTTTTCAGAAGATAAAATTTATTTTGATTATAAATCAGAATAAATAAACCAAACGCGATTTTATTTGGTTTATTCAAGTAAACAAGGTCCGGAATATTACATGAACGTAGTATTATACAGTCATATGATGTAATTAGTATGAAATACCCTGAAAGATAATGTCTGGAGACTTTTGGCGGGGTCTGTATTAGTAATCTTTTTCAACACCTTTTATCAATCAAGAAAAAATTTGAAACATCTGAAGCTATAGAGGTTTATAATGAAATACATAATTCAATGGAAAATAAATGGGCTGATCCTAAAATAATAATTGCATCATTTTTAGATTTAAGATTTAAAGATTTAACATTTGCTACATCACCACAATGACAAGAAGTACATACATATTTTAAAAATATAATTAATGAACATAAACAAAATCATAATAAAGATTCTTTAAGTAGTAGTCCTACTTTAAAATCTTCTGCTTTATCATTACTTTTCGGTAATATACTACTTTCAAAATCGAAAAATAAAAATGAATTAGACAAATATATTGAACTTTCAAATATTTCAATATTTGAAGATTATAACCCACTTGAGTGGTGAAAGGTTAATCAAAATTTATATCCAATTTTAGCACATCAAGCAAGAATTTATCTTGCAATTCCTTCTACTTCTGTATCTTGTGAAAGGTTATTTTCTACAGCTAGAAATAACATTACAGAAAATGAAATCGCCTTGCCTCTTCATCTGTATATAATCTTTTATTTTTAAAAGAAAATTTACATTTAACTAATAGTAATATGTAATATTTATGTATTTTATTATTAATTTTGTATATATATATAATAAATATTGATTTTTACAAATTGAAAAATAAATATGTTAATTTCACGAACTGAGCCAACTTTAATTTTTTATAATAAAATCATTTGTTGTAATATTACTATAATTACAATATGAATTTATATAGGAATCACGACTCAGTCACAGCTGAGTTGACTGATTTAGAATTACGACTCAGTCACAATTGAGTCGACTGATAATATTTAATGGCTGATCAAGTCGATTCTAGAATTTACACCGGCTGGTACTATTACCTATAGTCAATAACTTAATTAATTAAAATAAATAATATAATGTTTATTTATTATATACTGTATCTATAAAATAAATTATTTCTTGTATTTTGAATTATTTTTATTAGTTTATGATCTAAGAAAATCAAGTTCTTAGAAATTTTTGACTAAAATTAATATCTTATTACATTTTAGCCTTTAAGTTTAAGAATAAATTTATATAATTCTACATAATTTTAAATATTGTTATAAATATTGCTTTGAATTTATAATTTTAATCCTATTAATTTCAGATTTAATATTACTAATTTTTTATGTTAATTTTATAACTTCAGTTATTATCTATTTTATTTCAAATTAAAAAATAATATCTGCTAAATTTATTAATTCAAATTAAAATTAAAATTAATACTTATTTATATAATCATATTATTTCTATTATAAATAAATTAAATTTTAATTAATTAAATAATAAGTTGTTATTTATATAAAATTTACTAATTTCAAATAAATTATATAACCAGAATTTTCAAATATGATAGAAAGTAAATTATTATATTATACAATTTTTGCTATATAATATAATTTATAAATATGGTAATTTCTACTATTATAATAAATTTTTTTATTAATATTATTTTATAATAAAAAAATCAAAATAGATTACTTATTTTATTAAAATCATTTTTAAATAAACTTAAATATTTTATAATAAGTATATAATTCTTGATTATTTATATATATTGATTTAATAATTTTTAAATTATTATTAATTTTTAATACTTATATATAAATATTTTTTTTAAGTGCTAAAATTCTGTAAAAATATTCATCAAGTTTATATGACTTTTTAATCTCAGATATTTCTGTATATTTTAATATATTTCAATATATTCACATAACTAGATACACTTATTGTAAAGTAACATCTAAAGTCTGATATTTTAACTGAGTTTTACTTTCTGAATTAGATATCTTGGCATTATAGGTACTATCAAATTTAAATAGAGAGACATCACAATCATAATAAACATTATTACTATTTTAACTAATAATTTAATAATCTATTATTAAGATTTAATTACTTGATTTGGCTTATTTGTGAGTTATAGCGTTTATAGGATAGTATCACAAGATTTGTTTAAATAGTAATTATCTATTATGCATATAGACTATATCAACCAAATGGCTTTAATACTATATCATTAAAATTACTCAGAAATCAACCTGACTTCTAATTCAAGTAATAGCATGATTAGCCAATATCGTGACGTGTAATGCAATCTAATTATTATTGGAATTCAAATTACTAAATTCTATTAATCATTCTTTTACTTATATAAGAACTTCTACAGTATGAAATATGAGATTGTATTTATTATAGACCAATTAGTAAAGGCCAAGTTTCTGTCAATCTAAGGCTTTATTAATATCCACATATTATAACAATTTTAGTATTTAGGTATGATTAATATTGATTGATGAATTAATCAACAGATTTATACGAATACATTTATCATTTTAGTCACAATACAATTCTTATAAAATTATACAGTATTATGCATCAATTGAGACTTGAATTATAACTTATTATTATGTAATAAAACTTTAGCATAAAGAAGACTCACTAAGTTAAGGTTTTTATATCCTTTGATTCTAATTTATAAATAAATTTATATTAATTTTATTGATAGAAAATATATTTTTAGAATAAAATAAATCTTTATATATTATTATACTTATATTATAAGTATTTATCTTGACAGGCAAATTTGTTTACGAAATTAAAAAAAGTGATAATTACTTATAAAATATTAAATATTAATTTTAGTAATATCATGAAATAATTTTATCATTAATTAAAGTCATAAAAATTATAATAATAAAAATTGTTCTTTATAAGTAATTTTATAATATTCTTTTATAATTAGTATTATTAAAAATAAATTCTAAAAAGTTTATCATAGATTAATCATGAAATTTTTTAATATAAATTTTTTTAAAAATTACAAATTTTTAGCTTCTAAGTAACATTAAATTTTTTATTAAATAATTAAAAAATAAAACTTGTTAAATTTATAAAATTAATTTAAAAAAATTTTTTTTAAAAACATTAATTATTTATAAAAGTAAATCAGAAGAGAATTACAATTATTTAGCTTTTCATATATGCCTATGAATTTTTATTATGGATATTCAGACTCTAATAATAATGTAAAATTATATAATTTATAGTAAATAAGAAGGCAAATTTGTTTGTGAAATCCTATAATTTAAAGAATAATAGTAGTCATAAAATATATTGATCCTAATTGATTTTTATATAAATTAAAATGTTTATTATATAGCATAACATATTATTTCTTTGACCTAATTTTTAAAGTTATAATAAAATTTATTTTTAATTATTGATTTATTAACTTTTATTAGTAAATTAAAAATATTATTATTATTTTTTTATATTATTATTTAATTTAATTAATTTACAAATTTTTATTATAACATAAAAAAGTAAAAATTTGCAATTTTAAAATATTATTTATATTTAGAAAATATGAATTTTTTTTTTATAATTACCATTACATTTTGTATTTTATATATACTTAATAAATAAAATGAAAAAAATTTAATATTTATTGATCTTTTACTTTGTATTTTTATTTTTATTTCTTTTATAATTAATATAATTAATAATTGGGTTGTGATCTAAGAAAATCAAGTACTGAGAATTTTTTATTAAAATTGAGATTTTAATTGCATTTTAATTTTTATTACATTTAGATTAAAATGTAATAAGATATTAATTTTAGTCAAAAATTTCTCAGTACTTGATTTTCTTAGATTACAACCCAATTTTTAGTTCCAATTTAGTTTTTTTACCACTATTTCTAATTGCTCAGATATTGTTTTTCATTTTATTTAATTAGAGGTTGTAATTTATTAGCTTCTTAATTGTAGCTTTCTTTTATGATATTCTACTTTCTTCAATAGATATATTTTTTCGTGTTCTAGTAATAGAGGATTCAGGTTGCAAATTAGAGTTATTTTATGATTGTAATATTGATTTATTCTTGATATTTTTTTTGAATCTTTTTTGAATCTTTTCATAGGTATTAGTACAACTTCAGTAGCACGCCTGATGTGTTTATTCATTACACAAAATTTCTTAAATTTAAAAATTCTTGACAAAGGATCAAAATTTTACGTATGAAAACCTAGACTGACTGGTAAAGATGATAAATGGTCCTGAAAACTTTGGTCTGTAGCAGTCCTACACAGAAAAAGACCGGACTCAAATAACCGCAGTTTAAAAACTGCGGTCTTCAAAAAGACTGATCAACATTATTTAATTAAGCTTAATAAATTAAGGTTTAAAGTAATATAAATATATGAAAGATCGACAATGGCTGAATTTCGTTACATTTTTTTTATTTTTACAATGACTGAAATAAATGATGAAAGCAGTTCTTCTTTGATAACAGTGGAAGAAAATGAAGCTGAGACTGTTCCTTATGATACTTTTGTTGAAAATGAAGCTTTAAATATTGATACTAGTTTTGAAGATAATCTAATTTATTGTTATAATATGTTATAAATATATATATATTTTTAAAAGACTGAATTACAAGACTGACGGTCCTTCCGATTGATCTTTATAAATTAAAACTGCAGTCCAGTCCGTCTTTGTGTAAGACTGATGATACAAAGATTAAGATGGATGCGTAGAACCAATTATCATCTTTAGTTGGCATAGGTGTTAGCATAGGTGTTGGCATAGGTGTTAGCATAGGTGGCATAGGTTTTGGTGTTAATATATGTGTTGGTGTTGATATAGGTATTGGTGTTGGTGTTGGTATTGGCATTAGCGTTAATATTAACGTTGATATTTGCATTAGCATTGGTATTGACATTAGCATTGACATTGGCATTGGCGTTGGTGTTGATGTTAGTGTTGGCATTGACATTGGCATTGACATTGGTGTTAGTGTTGGTGTTAGCATTGGTATTGGTAGGGTTCCGCAATTCGATTTGACATTTGAATATTTGATTTGAAAATCAAATCAAATACAAATTCAAATTTAT